GTAATAACTTCCTGTATTGTTTTTATTTTTCTCCATGAAGTAGGCCAAGTAATAAAACTTTTTGTATAAACACATAATAATTTATCCTAAATTTTGTACTCAGAACATGCTCTCTTTGGAATTGCTGTTTTCATCCATTTCAGTATGGTCCTATTTTGGAGAGTTGATTCTCCATACTGCTGCACCATGTCTTTCCTCTCTTCCAATTCTTATGATGACAGAAAGAGAAAAAAATTCCTGACATCAAAAGAGTGTAATTTCGTATAGTCAGCACTATACATTCCTGCAGTTGGTTGTTATAAAATTATTGCTTGCTAGGTGTAGTTAGTGGGGAAATAACTTGCACTTGCAGTGTCCCTTTTTAGGCTTCATAGAACTGAAATTTTACATGGGACAGGTAAAATAAAAGAGCTTTTAATGACATTGCTTTCTTCAGCTCATCTCAATATGAGAAGAATGGCAGGAACTCAGATCAATTTCTCATTATATAAATTCAAATATACAATTCAGATTAATTTCTTCAAAAGTAATTTTGTTAATCAGTGCATATATAAAATATGTACACATCAAAGTCAATTTCCATTAAATAAATCCATAAGAATACATCAGAAGAAAACATGGGTAGACTATCAATCATATTTTGCTCTATAATGCTCCCCAGGGTCCTTGCCATGACATGCTCAAAGGGATAGATGATTTTCCATTATACCTCACCCTACTGACAGTTCACATACAACTCTTCATAATTCATTCTTCAGGGATTCTCAAACATTTGATCGGATGCAGGATTTTTCACCAGCTTGCTTCTAATTTTTCTCTGAAATGCAACCAAGACAAGCAGTACTTGACATTTGTTATTAATGGAATTCAGTGAGACGCAAAAGAAAAAGGCTTGAAGTGGAATATCTTCTCTCATGCTATCAACTTAAGGAATTGGTTTATCTGAGAGAAAATACCACATGCTTGAAAACAAATGCAATTTTGGAAAAGAACAAATTTTCAATTATTTTGATGCAAACTCTATTCTAGACTAAAGAATAAAAAGACAACCTCCAAAGAGAGCTTCTACTGAGATACTGACGGAACATTTGAAGAGCGCAGCTGGTGGACATGAAGCCTGGTTAGGTGTTTTTTACATAAGTCCATTTGCTTGTAGACTAAGTATATCAATACAATTGGTAATTGTATGAATTGTACGAATTGGTAGGTAAAGCCTAGAACTCAATCTAAATATTATCTACAAACAGGTAAATTATGCATCCAAAGCCATGAGAGATATAACTAGTTAGTTAAGATCAACATTTATTGTCACTGATGTATAACACAGCTTGTTTTCAGCATATAATCCCTGTGTTTAGTAGCTTTTTTTAAGCAAGGCACCAAGGCATGTCCTACATTAATACAGACATTTTAATGCATATAAAACACATGAAAGGCCTTCCTGTTGTGCAAACATATCTAAACCAAACTGGGAGCTACTAAGAACATTAAAAAAAAAAAAATCCTTTCTCTTCCCTATTTTGTTTTACTTCTTCTTGAATAGATCAGTTATTAACATTTTTAGGTCTGGCAAGAATCCTTAGGAAAAGATTCCTGTGATAACTGCATCATTCAGAGAGTGATGGAAAAAGGAGACTCGTATACACTTGTTGGGTGGCTCCTGTGTTATTCAGAATCATTCAGAGCATCTGACAGAGATCTACTTCAGGATTTTATATAACTTCATTTTTTGAACAAAGCACAAACTGGTCCTAACTGATACAAACTCTTAAACAAATACTTCTGTAACACTCCAAGTTAGACGCTCAGTCTAATTTCTCCAGTATACTGCAGAGCAGCTCTCAAGTGTCATAACCAATAGTATTTAGGACCACATTTAGATCCTCAGAGCATCACTCTCCCAAATACTTTATTCAGTAATCAAGATTTGTTTCAAACATCATAGAAATTCTTTCGTAGTTCATTCTCAACATTTTCAGCCTAAGCTGTAGCTTAAAGAGATTTTCTCTTTCAAGCTGAGTACTTCCTTATGACTGATTTAAGCAGAATTCTCCTGTCCTCCCTCCATAATGACAGTACATAAGCTGTTATACCTCATCAGCCAAAAGAGATTTCTCTTTCAGTCATTTTTATCCCTGCTGAGGAAATGACACCTGCTCTTCTTCCAGCAGCTGTTTCTTTCTCCAAACCCACTCACTGGGATACAGTACATCAGAGCCCAGGATATGTGCTGTGGGGATGGTTTAAATTACATGTCAGAAGTCTCACGAGAGAATCATTTCTCAGAAACTCCCTTGTCAGGACAGCCTCAAAACTAAACCTACGCATTCTCTTGCTAGTTGTCAAAAAGACAACAAGTCTTTGCAACCCTGTAAAGTCTGTCAGTACAAAGACGGATGCAGTTCTCCTGGCCAATGGCAGTTTGGCTCATTTGTCTGTTTTTTTATGACACTTTAAAAAAAAAAATAAAAAAGTGGGAGGAAAGCATTTCCAAAAGCTTCTCTATAATTATAGGACAGTTCAGCAAATGCATCTAAAACTATCCCAATAGTGCTAGCCAAATTCTTGGATAAAATTATGCATTTGCAATAGCTTATTGGGTTTACTGGAACTGATTGACTTCAGCTATTCGTACTGGATTTCATTTGTGATCACATCTTAAATTTATACAGTTCTTTCTCATGAAAAGTCCAAAAAAACCCCCCAAAAATATTAAGAACATATTGAAGTGCCTTAATTAATTGAGAAACATGTGTTTCACATTGCACTGAGCCCAGTGGGAACCAAAAAATGGCCCTGAAGGACTGCACCATTAAGGCTGCCTCCTGGTCGTTCATAAGCACCTGCTGATTGCTTCGTAGTGCAGTTGAGACCAGGGTACCATGCAGGCAACTGGTAGAGCTTGTGGCACATGCACAGCTGCATATCTGTTTGGGTCTGGACATCTAGCACTTGGCAGGCCTTTTGGGAGCTCTGAGGTTGGCTGTTCCTAGTCTAACCTATCTTGAATTATCCTAATTAATAGTTTGTTGAATTTTAAGCCACAGTTGTTTGCTATATCTGTCCTGGATGTACAATTAGATCTGCTAAGATTACATTTCTTTCTGAAACACCAATTGTGTTCAACAGAAGTGGAGGTGTATCTTTCACTCTCCATACACACACACATGCATACACGAAATTGTGCCTCTCAGGTTTGCAAGGCTTTGTCTGCCTTTGATGTAGTGGGGCAGTAATGTGTGCACCCATTTCAAGGCCTGCAGGATTGGGCGTTGTTAGCCACAGAGGATCATTTAGGTTGAAAAAGACCATCAAGATTATTAAGACCAACTGTTACTTAATAGTACCAATTCCCTCATCCCCCTGAGTACAACATCCACAAATCTCCAGGCTGGCTACCCCGACACTATCCTGTCAGCCAGTTCCAAGGCCTAATGTGGTCACTCCCTGACCAGGCAGTCTGCCATGCTCCTACCAGACAGCTGTCTGAATCTCAGAGATAAAGAATAGCACATGAGAAAAGTGAAGGAAAAATGCAAGAGATTTAAAAAGGATAGCATATTTAAAACAAAGAAATTAGCAGCATCTAATATGCTGAATGTTTCGCTCCTGGCCAAAAATGAGCATGGCAACATTTCTATTAGCCTGTCACTAAATGCTGAATGCTGCTATTTATGGGGATGGTGAGAACATATTTTATAAGCATATATTTTTGGAGATTAAATTACCCATCTGTATGTGTGCGTAATTCTTGTGAGTGTCATTGTAACTCCATATGTTGTCAGGACTTAAAGGGATCTTGTGAATAAGCACTGGAACTGCCTGCCTTGTTGGTCATAACCAATTATGACCGAGAAGGATGTAATTCAGCTCAAATTCCTATATCCATTAAAAAGCTGTTAAATCACCTACATTTACTATTCAGCTGTTCTGAAGATGAGCTTGGGTAACATTCATACATGTAAAGTCTAACGTGTATTCTGATCTCTAAACACTGCTGATTCAGTTGCCCTTTTCCTGCAGAGGCATCTTAACCTGCCTCCAGAGACCCTCCAGAGCCACAGCCCAGTTTCTGACTTTGGGAGGCATCAATCCAAGCACACTGAAGCAGTTCACTCCCAAAAGCTTAATCACGATACAGAACCTGGATGTTCTCTTGCTTACTATTTCAGGGCTTTGTTCACTCACAGATAACAGTGCATGCTGGCATAACCAGACATGATCCCAATAAAGACACAGATATCTATAATCTGTTAAAATACATCCGGGATGTGATTTCTTACCACTCTGGCCTTTTTCATATCTTTCTTAGGGCATAAGCAAGGAGAGAAAAGGCAAATCCTTTAGGCTAATGAGGTGCAAACCTGTCATTTAAATACTTAAATCAACAGGCATGAGACCTTTGTGATTGCTCTCTAGGCGCGAGATTAAGTCAGACAGAGATAAGCATCACTGATATCTTGGGCAGAACATCAGGCTGGAGGGATGACCTGGGGATTTACTCTTGCTGCCAGCACTGCAGTCGCAACATGAAGTCCCAGTACTGGGCTAGTGCTGTACTGTATTGGAAAAGCCTCATTAAATACTATTTTGAGGCTCTTTCTGCTGCAGGTCATTTTGGGAGGATATTGTTCAGTTCTCAATCATATTGGCAGGGTCAAAATGCATTCCATTCTCTATAAATTTCAGTATGCACTGGATGACTTCCTTTGCTTTTCATATTTTAATAGGTTTGTCAAAAAGAGTAATTCAGGTTCTTTTAGAAAACTCCCAGGATGGTTTGACCAAAGTCCAAAACATGACCTCTTCTCTTCTCAGAGAATCGCAAGGTTGACTTTTATCCTCACATTACTGAAACACTCATAACTCGTATTCTTCACTTTTTTTCTGAACGATTGCATGGACATTGCTTGTGTTCTATTTCACCTAAGGAAGAAAAGGAAAGGTCAGTGTCTTAATCTGTATATCTCAACCTTTTACAAGCATTGAAATTCAAACCGAAGTATATTTTAAACTAAATATATTTTTTCCAAGGGTCAATGAGAACCAGCTAGTGCACTGATCCTTTTCCTTCTGTTTCAGGGATTTGATTTTAAATTATTCATTCTGACACAACGGCGTGTAAACCTTGTCTTGATTAATAAAGCTGAATGTAGAAAACTCTGAGAGAGATTATTAACTTTGTAATGTGTGACGATCAAATGCATGGTCCACACCAGAGCTCACCTTCTGCACTAATGATTGTGATTTATCTCTAGCCTTTCATTATTTAAAAATAGTCTGACACTCAAATACATATTAATGAATTTAGCTGGAAGAGCTGACTCTTTAAGACAGCATGTACAACTAGCACTGTTTCAAGGAAATACAGGATAACTTCATGACAGCATAATATTTCTTAAGCAATTTTAATTGTTTGTACATTCCTTTGTGCATACCAGTTTCCCAAGTCTCTGTTCCTTCACATTCAGAGAAATAATAGCAGCTAGATGCAACAAACCTGTGCCTATAGCAGTTGGAAGAGGACTCTACATCCTCGGTTTGGTTTACAGAGCTTTTGATCTTGCATATCCCAGCAGATGTGAAGGATCCATGTGCAGGGTGAGTATTGCTTCTGGAGTCCAGAGTGAGGTTCTGTTAACCCAAAGTTGTCTCTTTGATGCCACAATGGAATTTCCAGTTCAGTTTATCTGCAGTCTTTAAAGGTTTAGCCCTAAGTATCTAACGTTGTATTTGTTTTTTCCTGAATCTTAATATATTCCATGAGTTTTGAGATGCAGTTGCCCTAACTTCAAGGATAGAAAACAAACTACCTTGCTGCCTTTTCGTCTTCATCCTTCAGCATGTCTGAATGTGTCATTTTCTACCACCACACCAGCAACTGCTATAAACCCTTAAGTCCTATCCTGTAAAATCTAGAATATTTCAAATTTTAGTATCCTTTTTTTATCCTATGCTCCAGACTGGCAGAGTAAACATTACCAGCATGGCCTGTCATTGGTAACTAGCCTGTCAGATAATAGCTTCCCTGCCAGCTCTCAAAGGCTTCTGCCAGTCTGTGATATCACCTTATCTTCACCGTTGTTATTCCCCATGGCTTTCCCACTTGTGATTTAATTTCAAGTAGCCTGAACAGAATAATATCAAACAGAAGATAGAGGAACCCTCGATGCTCATTAGGAAAACATGAATATTTCATTTATTCTCCTCAGCATGACCTTATCACTTTTCCGGAAGTACAGTAGAAACTCATGTGGAGCAGATCACCAGTTCTGCTCCAACTACTGTCCAATCCAGTCACTTAATGTGATTTCCATTCCCATTCTCTTTGCATACTGAAGAGTTTCATGCCACTGATCGCCATTTCCATTTTCATTTAGTTGCATCTGTATATTCCTTACCTTTTAATTGACCAGTGTGTGGTTTTGACAGCTAGAGAATAGTTTGACTCCACCATGGCGTACCCCTCACATACTTGACCCTTAAGGCACTTCTGTGAAACAGCTGCCATGAAAGCATTTGGTGTTGATCCAAGTCCAAGAAATAAACACGCTCACTGTTCCATGTATGCGGATTCTAATATATACTTTAAATGTCACATAATTTTAACTTTGTATATAACCATAATATTTCTCCCTGCAGCTTATACTTTTGCATTATGCATGTATGTAAAATGCATTTAGCTAGGAGAAATCCTTTGAAATTCTCATCTTTATTCCCCAGGGAAAAATTATGGACTGGATTCTACTTATTCAAACCCAGAAATAGTTGTATGAGTTACTATACAATTTAATTTCTTTATTTAAATCTAAACATAATGCTGTTCTCTTCCTTTGTCTAAAGTTTGATTGACTAGCATATCATCCTGTAACTATTGTCTTTGATTAATACTTCAAGAGAATCTATTTTTGTTTTGTCTATTCATATTTGTTTTCTGAATGTATTGCAATTTTAATACCATTAAAAACTACAACAAAGAAACACTAAGATGCTACAGAATTGGTCATTTTTTGTTGTTTGCAGTCTCATCTACTTTAACTTTAATTCTTTAATTATGCAAAAAAATTGTATTTGTTGCAACAGTTTCTCATTTTTTATCAGAGAATCAGGGAACAGTCTTCTGATTTTCACACCTGTGCAACATTTGCAAATCATTCAGTATATACATTCATAATATTAGTTCATTTGTGTATTATACTAACTAGCACACCAAGCTGATATGTGTGAATGTCTGATGGCTTCGGTTGGAAGGGACCTCAAAGATCCCCAAGTTCTAATCCCCCCTGCTGTTGACAGAGTTGCCAACTGCTAAATAATATGATAGATTGTGTGGTTGTAACATTCCTTCCAGAATTGTAGAATAATATTTGATAAATAATTCCAACATCTGTTTACATTTTCAGTATTTTTCTAAAAAAAGCAAAATAAAAGTTTTGTGACTGTATATTCCAGTAAAAATTTTATTGTTGTACGAATAGTCTCTTGAAAGAGGAATATTTTAATTTTTCTCTGCAGCTAATTTTCAGCAGGTTTACAATTTTGAAAAAGGTATGTTATACCTTGTATTGATGAAGCTTCACCTCCCCTGCTATACCTATGCAACTTTGAGCATACCATTTCTACTTTTTCCTTTCCACTTTATTCAGTTTATCCAGATATCCACTGATAGCCAGCTGCACTGCTTCGCTCATACTAATACAAGAGATTTTTCTGTCACGAAAAATTTTATATGGTATATATACACATACATGCACATATATATTTATACATGTATGTATACTTGGAACCTGTCAGAGCTTTTTTTTCCCAAACATTCATTTTCCAAATGTAACATTAAATATTCTTCTGTGTATCAATTACTGCTTTGATGTACAGAGCTACATTTACATTGGCTCTATGACACCCTATGCTTATGCTTTGGCCCATGTTTTTATCCCTTGTCTGGACACAAGACCTGAGATACATTTGTGTGTCTAATTGTTATTGTGTTGCTTGCAATATGATCATCAGAAGTTAATTTTAGCATGTGTGCAGCCAGAATGATTGGGAAAACAAAATACTATTTACATAAATAGTAGTCTGAATTACCATGGTGTATTTTTATCAGTAATTTTTACTAGCTGCTGATAAGGAACAAATAACTCATCATTTTCAGCAATAGTTTATATATTTTGTTGATCTAATTTTGCCACAGGCAGCCCTTGAATGTCATTATAGAACTGGTCAACACACATCACTGAAAATAATTGTTTTGGAGAAATGCTATCCAAAAATAGAAAGAAGGTAAAAATGTTGTCAGTAGATCTCCCACATCTTCACAGTTTCAGGGATTCTATAGACTCATATAATTTTGTCTGACTGTTCTAATGCAGGTATTGGGTATGCTATCTAGTCAATCTTGACGCTTACTCATATCAAAAAAGAACACTCATGTTTTACTTTCATTTCAGCTTTCCTAATATGAACAGTTAAGAATAGGCCTTTTATGACACACATGAGAAAAGCTGTGGGATGGTCTGGTCTTAGTTATAGCACACATGTATCTGCTCTGCATAAGGAAACAATGAGGAAACATTATAATGAAAGCAGTCCTACTGTTACTGGGCAACAAATCCAGCAAGCAAGAAAATAACAGCCACCAAACACATCATCATAATGGCAGTGCTTCGCTGTATTATCTGCTTGAATCCCTGGCATTTTTTTCCAGCTGCAGGAATCTCCCCTTGGCTCCCTGTCTCCCTAGAGGCTCAGAAGTGCACCCTTCCAGCCTGCCATGCTCTCTGTCCATCCCATTTAGTGCATGCAGCAGCAGCATTTGCTGCATTCTTCAGCTGCCTTGAAGATATTTTGGTGGGTTTCTGAAGAGTGGAAGATTACAAACATGACAAAGGTTTGGAGCAGTGGTACAACTCAATGAACAAAACTGTCACAAAGACATCTGGCTCCAAACATGACAAAAGATAATAATTGTGTACAATAATGCTTTAAAAATTAATAATCTATTACCCAAATATTACTCCACTTATGCTCTTTAGGGCTACAGATAATCCGTATTTTTTTTTCTGCACAGTAAGTAACAATTATTTCCAACAATGATAATTAAAGCCCCAAAAAGATACAGTTCATTGAGGATCATCTGCTTTCAAAACAGTTAAGCTATTTGATTTTCATTCTTGGCTTGGTGCAGCTCATCAGTGTAATCTACTCAGGAGTTAGGGATGAGTGATACATTTTACAAAAGCCTCTTATCTAAATCAGTTTCAACACCACTTACTTGCTTTACTCTAAACTTTTCTTTCCATAGAGCAGCACAGCAACAATAACTTCATAAGCATTTATATCAAATTGAGTAGACAAGCCAAACTACAAAAACAAATTTAAATAACCCAGTTTTTATAACTCCTTCAGATGCTAGGGTGTGTTCATGTAGGCTGGTGGACTTAATGGAAAAGGTTTTCTGCAAACTCATAAAATACACCATTTCATATGTAAAGTACACAAAACCACCAACAAATTACATTCCTCTATAACTTCCATTTGTATGAGCTGCAAAAATATGTTGATTTCCATTTATTAAATGAATATAGCTATGTGAATTCTTCTTGAAATGGTACATGGTTTGTTTTTATGTTACTGACATGAGTAGATGCAATTTAATTGAAATTAAAACAGCAATGACTTGCTATCTAGCAAAACCAATTGTGCAACCCATTCCTTGCATACTGCTTATTAGTTTCCGTGGTAACTTGTAATCATTTGGCCTCCTAAAACAGATGTGATGTCAACAAATACATATTGTAGTAGAGCTTGGATACATCAAAAAGGAAGAGTGTTCTAATGACACCATAATAAATGTTAATGTGAAAACTTAATGGCCACATTACTGACATGATAACTATAGTATCAGACTTATGCTGTTCACCATGGAATACTTTTATTTCATAGCATGGTTGTGAGTTACTGTACTATGTGAAGCACCTTCCAGCATCCATTCTAAAATCAATTCCAGACTAAATATTTAAAAGCAGTCATTTATATACTAATATGAATGCATATACTATATTATATACTAATAAAATCTCAGTGATGACATTTCTTCCTAAAGTGATGTTACCTGTTGGATGAATCTTATTCTACCTGAATCAGTAAGTTCTGATTCATTTTAGTTTATCTTTATATGCTGACATCAATGTATTTCCAAAGTCTTCCAATGTGTTCATTACTATCTCTGTACATTTCTGATGTGTTTTTTTTTGTTGTTGTTGTTTTTGTTTTTCCAGTATAATAATATGTAGAGGAGAAGAAGAAAAAAAAGTCATAACCAGATTTTCTAAGCCAGGAATAATGAGAACAAATGGATGGAGCATCATTTCAGCCTGGGAGAAGATACTAGTCCTGACTCTGAAAACAGATTTCCACCAGCTGCCTGCATGACGAACAGTACCTGATTTTCATCAGCTTAGGGCCTACAAAAAGAATAAAATCAAAGATCTGTGCAGGAGCCAGAAGCGAGTCTGAATTTCCTTTGATTATGAAAGCATTGCCCAATCATGAGGAGAAGAAATTGCGAAGGCCAAACGTGGAGTGGAAATTGAAAGATGTAAATGGCAACATGTAAGTTTTCTGCAGGTACATCAGCAGAAAAGAAACACAAACAACAAAAACATGGGAAAAAAAAAAAAACCCAAACAACATTGTTGAAAGGGACAGATAAATGCAGAAACCAACGAGATGGAAAAACTTGTAGTAGTCCTAGCAGTGGAATTTGGATAAAGAGAGGTGCCTTATCCTATTTGGATAGTGAGGAAAAATTAATAAAGTAGACACACGCAATGCACAAAACTAGTCATGGTATACCTGAGGAACCTGACTGATGAAAAAAAAAAAATGGGGTGAGTCTTACAGACTCCTACGAATGAGGTAATTGAGAACAGCCAGCATGACTTAGTCTGGGACAAATTTTACTTGACCAGCCTGAATGTTTTCATCATTAAATGAGTGGCTCTGAGCAAGGCAAGCTGATTAACTGACTTTATAAGGCTTTATACACACTTTTAAATAAGATCTTGTAATCAGACTTGACAGATGTATTTTGGATAGGAGAAGTACAAGGGAGGTGGAAAGCTAGATGGACTGATATGTCCTGAGTCAGTGCTTCAAAAATCTAACCAACAGGCTGCTAGCAAATATATTCCTCAGGAACTGGTACTGAGACAGTACAAGTTATCAGTTATTACCTTCAGTAGTGGTATAGATAATTACAAATAAATCAAGCTTGCAGGGTGGAAGAGGGGGCAGTGGCTGTTAAATTGGAGAGTAAGTTAGTCTTTCTAAAGGACATTCACTGACGAGAAAAATAAACTGCCAGCTACTTCATGAAGTTCAGCAAAATCAAATGCAATCAAAACTCAATTGGACAAAGCGCTGAATGAACAACCTTACCTAACTAGGAAAATAACCCTGATTTGAGTTTGGACTTCATGACCTCCAGTGGTCCAACTTAAATTATTCTACAGTTTAATGATGTAGTATTGTCAACTGCAGTATAGATAGGGTTTTGGCATCTTTAATTAAGTGGTAATGGAAGGGAGATTTGAGATTGCAGTGGTTATAGTAGAAAATAAGGTCTATTTATGTTCAGTCTGTAGTCCCAGTTTTCATTCTTCAATCCTTATGTTAAACAGCAGTTGTGCTGCCTCATATGTTTACTGTGAATACAGTTGCACTAGTCTGAGGTACCTTAAACCAAGTTCATGAAGGTTATGAGGTTTTTAAGTTGTTATCTCATAAGCTCCTTGGAAACGTACTGATCACAGTCTGCTATGTAAAAACACAAAACCATGACTGTTCTATGGACCTAGTAACTGACCAAATATCCAAATATCTTTCTCCTCCATGGGATTTCCAAAAGTTAAGGAAGGTACCATAGATCTGTTTTGAGCAATGGACCAACTCCATTTTGCAGAAAGAAGTGGAACTAGACAAGTTTGCCACAATGCAATTAAACTGAAGAATATAGAATGAGGGATGAAAAATAAATCATGAGGAAATAAAACTAAGGAAATGTATTAATTCCAGGGAGACTGCCACCAACATCTGATGTGGTTAGTACAGTAGATCAGTACTGGGAAGAAACAGATTCACTTGAATAATCGGGGAAATTGCAAGGCTAAGTTTCCCAAGCCACTACACATACATTTCCTTGAGTTTGTTTCATCTGTATTAAATCATTTGCTGTCTTGATTATCTTTTGAATCTACATGCTGCTAACTGTTTTAGTTGAATTAAAGTGATTTGTGAGCAAACTAGGATAAGAGTTCTCCATTCTTTTCTTTGCCTCTGCACACACTTTCAGCGGCAGAGATGAATTATTGATTCATGCATGCCAGCCACTCTAGGCCATGACAGTGGGATCCAAAAAGAAAAGGGGCTAAATATTTAACATGAGATTTGAAGAGATTTGAAGAAGTTTGGCAACACTTAACTAAGTATTTTGATCCAAGAAAAATCCTTCTCTAGCTCCAGAAATGCTTGAATCATACAAGTGTCTACATTTCCCTCCTGTAAAGCATATATTCCTTATCTTATTCTAGGCGTATAAGTGTTGTATTTTCTCTCATCTACCAGTTTCTCTTTTCACCTCACTTTTTTTTCTCTAAATCTTTTCTAAAAACTTAATTATTCTTGATCATGACTCTCTGAAACTAGCAAACTATAGAGTTTTTAGTCTACAGTGGCATAACATGGAACATATTTCGATGGAAGGATTTCCATTTTTAAGAACATGTGTATCAAATTTATAGCTCATTGCCATAATATACCAAGGTTGTTACCTTCTCCAGCTATTTTTAAGAGTTGAGTTCTTAGAGTTACTTATTATTAATTTCTAAATGCATGATCAGCCCTTTCTTTCCTATTGATTTCAGCTCCTTTCTGTTACATCAGTTCTCTAAGACATTCTATTTTTTCAGAAAAATATCTTCTTCTTCTGTCTATTGATGATAGCTCTTCACATGTGTTATCAGAAAATGCAAAGAGTACATGATCTTTCCAGTTACAAACTTGAATTGCTCGTGAGGAATAGAGTTCTAGCCTTTCTCTTCACTTTAATAACTTTACACTATTAGTCTATAACATCTTCATTTCAGTCAATTTCTTCTCAAATTGTTGTCTGAATCCTCATAATAGAGCACTATGGCAAATAATTTATTCTGTAACAATGATTCTACCCTTGCCAAATAAAGAACTTGCTCAAACACTGCTAATTCTATCTCATTTAATCTACCTTTGAGAAGCCACAATTGTTTCTTAACCCACTGCCCTTTCCACACAGTTAATAACTCCGACCTTTAAAAAGATCTAAGGGAAGCATCAAGGGGGTTAAATAGCAAGATAGAATTGTCCCAGTCATTTCTCTCCACTCTTCTTTAATTAGAGACATTATATTGATTATTTATCAATCAAAATTACTATTACACTCTGCCAAACCATGAAACTTTACCACTGAACTTATAAAAATATCATTGAAATTTAGCATTTCTGAGCATGTATGGATCAGGGTCAATTTTTGGTGATGTCCTCAGTACTCTCAGTACCCTATATATAAATATGCATTCTGTTAAGAAAGAAGGGCCCATGCTGATTTTCTGTCTGGCCTAGGAAGAGTTTTTTTTTGTTACTCTGATGAATTATTTGGCTTCAGTTTTGAGGTTTATTATTGCAGCATTGGAGATCATCTATAGCTGGAGATATAATGTTCAATATTGCTGACAGAATTCTTGATTTTCCAGTTGCTTCGGTACACTGAACAGCATTGAAAACATTCCCACATTTGGGTACAGAAGGAAAGTTCCTACATTAAATTGCCAGGAATCATTATACTTTCTTGCCCAAATGCAACACAGCTGTTGGACTCACCTGGATGTCCTTCTAGCAGCTCTTTGACACCGCATTACGTAACGTGTGCTCTTCATCACCAAGCTTTCAGAGGGCCCTGGCACGTTTTGAGGATTCAAATGCCTTTACTGAAGCTTATGTTTTAAGTATGTCAGTGGTGTAGTGCAGATGATTTGTACACTGCTCTGGATTAAATGTCTGTAGCATGAATAGTGATCCACCACATCACCACATCCTGTCTTATGGAGCAGAACTGAAAAGCTTCTTAAGTATCTACTGCAGCAGTGAAGTTTCTGACAATTAACTGGAATACAGATGTCAATAAAACATGAAAGGCCAGATTCTTTTTTTCCTACTGCTTTCCTTAGCTTTGTGAAGGAAATGAAAATAGCTCTAGCTTTTCTTCCAAGTATTTATTTGCCATGCAAAATACCCAAGAGGAGAACAGAGCATACAGGGAGAAGATTTAACTGAAGGACAGTTAAAATTGTTGATTTCTGTGACCACTGTAACGAGGGGCTGAACGTAGTGCTTGTTAGCACAAGATTGAGCCATATGCTAGATTATATGACTGAAATGATATAGGACTTTACATATCTGCATTATACATCTATTCACAGGTGTTTTATTTCTTTTTCCTTTTAATACTCGTTGTCGTGTTCCATTCTTATGGGGAGTCACCAAACAGGTGAGAAGAAAGGGATAGGAGGGAAGTAAGAGCAGTGTATATGTAGGGAAGGGATCAGGTGTGCACAAGTACATGGAGATTTTGCTGTTTGAAAGAGTGGATAACGAGTGACATCTGTTTGCATCTCCTTTCTAAAACTATAAAAAGAGTATAAGAAATAATTTTTTTTTTCCTAATTTGACACCTACATTTCAGTGAGCTGGTAGGACTTAGACAAGTGTAGTAAGTAAAAAAAATGGGTCCAATGTAAGGCTCATCACATTCTTTTTCCTTCTGCTCCAAAAATTGTCTTCACAGATTAATTCTGAAGAACAGATTCAGACAGCAATTTAGCTGGTAATGCTATGGACCAAGACTACATGCAAAATATGCCAGAAATTAAAAATCATTTTAGCAGAAGATAGGGGTGTTATTGGAGAGGATTGTCCTTCAAACTGAAACACTTGCAGTAGAATGCAAGCTAATTTCTCAAATCATAATTTTCTTCAAATTGTTCTCCTCTTTGATACAAACACATCAGGAACATGTGGGGAGGGGACAGCATGCATCTTGTAATGTTGTTCAGTGGGTGCTCCCCTTCCCCTTCAAGCAATCAACCAGTTTTGAATGTGTTAAGCAGGATACTATAAAAGCATAATTTTTTTGCCCACATGCTATCATCTCCCACTTTGTTGTGCCGCAGAAGAACACCTGCACTTGACAGACTGTTTTGAGCAGAACAACTTTCACCTGATACATGTGTGGATGAGAACTGTTCCCATGGTAAATGACAGCCATCAGCCACAAGCAGACAAAAGGCTGGAGCTGTTAAAAAATGCTGCAGGCATTTACAGTGAGAAAATATTTTATGATTTTTATGCTTTTTTTCTATTGCATTTGTGCTCAGAAATAGCATAGTTATTTTTTAGTGAACATAAGAAATAACATTTATATTTAATTAAATCTTTGAACAATCCCAAAAGGGAAAAGCTTCAGGAAATTCTGAAAGACTAAAGCGTTGTCTGTGACATAAAACACTGACAAGCGTAGGTAAAGAGTCCTATAGTGTATGTATGTTCTCTATTCATAATATACTACTATAATTTTAGTACTGTTGTGTTCAATTTTTTATTCAATTTATTGACTGATCAAATGAACCATCAATGGGCTTGATGAATACCAGCTTCTGAAGGGAATATTAAAACTGATGGCTTCTCTTTGTTCTTATGAGACATGGAAATACAAATAAAGTAACACAGAAGAAAAAATCAACTAGTAATAAAAAAAACAAATGTGAAATATGGCTATCCTTTATGGAGACCAAGGCATTGACACAATGCAGTGATATCTTGGCTTGTGTGACGAGACACGAATGCATGAATTTCACAGGAAAAGCCTTGTCTCCCGTGACTGAGTGTCCAATATTTATGTAAAAAATACTAATATATATACTTGCTTCTAGTTATGAGTGTCAAATATTTATTTTCCGTAGCGAATAGCATAGATTTTAGTGTGCTAGCAGTGTAAATAGTGTGAAGACCATTACAACAAAACAACAGCACTAAGCCAAAATCTTCTGTGATCATTCTCATCAGCAAGTTAATTGTTTTCCAATTTACAGTTTTATGACATTCAAGGTCCTTATTTTACCCAAACATTCATGCATGTGTTAGCTTGTAATGCTTCACACTGCACAAGTAAAAAGAACCAAATTATTTTGCCAAGTTCATTACACTAAGTCCTTTGACTCCCCTTACTTTTCCACCATCTCAGCATGAAGCTGAACACAAAAAATAGGCCACCACTAAGTCATATTAGAGGTTCAGTCAAGTTTCTTTATCAATATATCAATTCTGCATCTGAGTGGAATGATACTTAATTGCACGACGCAGCATGACTGCGAAAAAACTCAAGCATGGAGGAAAAAAACATTGCATCTACCACAGTCAAAAACCTTTGCAACCGCTTTCAGGAATCCCAGGTTTAAGAGTGTATGGTTTTCATACTGTCCTTAATTTTGGTCTGGAGCATAGAGTGTCTCAGTCTTTGACATTTCAGATCAGGCTGTGTAACAGTTATCCTGAAGGTAGTCACATTTAATCCAAAATGGTTCCAAATTGTAATAAATCTTATAGGTGGGGAAGGGTATGAAGCTCTCAGCCCTGGTTAAACCCTTAACTGTATGTTTGAGATTTCTACTAGTTTAAGATAGGATCTATCAGCATTGCTATTTCTTTTGTCAAGCACAGAATCCCAGCAGAGGAGCTTTTCTATGATCCACTAGTACTGAAGTAATGGTGCTTTCAGATAAAGAGAATGGGAAGATGTGTTGTAAAAAAATTTCTGTAGCATTTTATAAATTATAAGCTAATGCTTTTACGTAAGTCTAGGTTAATAGGAATACCACAGTTGTTTCCCTGAGAGCTTTAGCTGCTTAGATCATTGAAACCTGAACTGTGCTGAAGTTACTTTTAAAAGTGGAAATTCAGACATTCATGTTCATAAAAATTATAGATCCTTAAAATCATAGAATCATAGAATCACCAAGGAAAAAGACCCACAGGATCACCCAGTCCAAACCAAACACCAAAATGTGCTACAGACTTTAAAACTCACCTTGTTTTCAAAGATTTATGCATCCAAACAATTTGGGTAGCTACATTTCATATTTACTGGTAAAAAATTACGTGTATGTAGTAAAACCTTTTCAAGTCTTGCTCCTCAATATTTGTCTTATTTTCATAAATCATATTTATTTTTTCAAAAAAATGGGAGATATTATGGTAGAGGTTCTTCAAGATGCTTCAGAGAGAATCTAAAAGCTATGCATTTACAGGGAGCAGAAGGCAGATGCAGAGAGACCTAAGAAATATAATTTCAGCTTTCAGGGAATATCGAACCAATACTCTTAGCTATAATTGGGGCCTAGAGTATAAGTGATTACAAGCAAGTTCATTCAGTCACAGCATTCCTGGCATAACTGGAAGATAATGAGTGTGAGACATTAATTTTTCCCGTAGCATCCTTCTGTTGCTTAACAGCTAAAGACTTTTTTCATCTTTTAAAATACAGCGCCAATTGTGATATCCCAGTACTAAAATGACAGATGTAATTCTTCTAGTTATATTAACTTTATTTAGCTATTTTTAATTTCATATATTTTTATTTTAAAATAAAGATGTATACTTTTCAAATACAATATTCCTTGACATGGCCATTTCTTTTTTTTTCTTCCAGTTCATTTCAGATCACCATATTCATACCATTTGCTTACCAACCTCTCACATCACCTTTTACAGCAGCTTTCAAGAAGGTAACTGATTTCATGTTTCAGAGCAATGATGAACCTTCAGAACAAAGGTTTAAAGCCAGAGATAGTTGGAAAAATGCAGATAGTGTAAAAATATAAATATATATCCCTCCCACAAAAATACCATCTCTCTGGGTCAGAATAGAATAGTCATTCTTTAACATTTAATATAGAATTTAAGAAAATATCCCTGAACCTATTTGTTTTTCTGAGTTCATACCCAACCATTTCCCTGCAAGCTGATTTCACACTGTTATTCCAGTGAGTGACTGTATTTTCAGTGAAATTATCTGTTTCCTTGTGCTTTAGGTTTCTTCCCAGCCCTGGAGTGTTACTGTACTATGAAATATAGTGACACATTTTGTTTTTATAGTGCTTTCCACAGTGAATGTATTGATAGGTAAGTGTAAAGTGTCTTCTATTTGCTAGCTCCTTTTTCAGCTACTGTGGATATACCCTTGCCCAATCACATTGCTGTGCCAGTGTTTTCTCTGACATATATTTAGTATAATATCTTTGTGCTAACATTCCAGGGTCATTGATTTTGTACTGACCAAAAGGGGGTGGAACAGCAAGGCACAGAAAATCCACTATACATTCTAACATTTAGTCTTTATCTTTTATTAGGTAGTGAGTAAGAGACATAAAAAGAACTGAGTCTGTTTACAGCTGAAATTTAAAAGAGACTTCTGTGAACAAAAACTTGTTCCATAGAGCACTGTGACAAAAGAGGTCCAAGAAAACTTAAGGTGTCATTGCGAATTAGCTCATCTAAGTAGTTGGAATGACACTCTTTTTATTTCTACCAAAACTTTTATTAATTCTGCATTTAGTACTGTGCCTCCATACATGCCACAGGCCACATTATGAAAGGATCAGCCTGTTGATTTTGGTGGCATCATGACAACAGGGCAGGATATACAGCAGGTGCCCACGTACCATAAGGCTGTACGTAAAAGCCTATAGGATATTAGTAGGTCTCCCTTTCTCCTGTCTGCATTTCCTGGGGAAAAGATTTTCTGCTCAGGCCTCTCCCACCCCAGCCCTCCTCTGCTTGTTCTGCAAATGTTTTATTACATAGGCTGTTACAGAAAGCTCTGCAGATACACGGTGGCTGAAGGAGCACATTTGGAAAACCAGTGCCCTACTTGAGGAAGAATCTGCACACAACTGGCAATGGCACTACATCTTCTGAAAAAAAAAAAAAAAAAAGAAGTTTGAAACTAGTTTTAAAGACGAAGCCTAAGAGTTTTTAAAGAGAAGTTTCAGCTGACAACACAGTGTTTACGTACCCATATAAGTGGAAAGATTTTCTAAATTCTGAGTGATTAGCACAGGTTTCGAAAGCTGGTCTGCCTCTTTACTGGGAGCTGTAGAGTAGGGAGCCCTTTTAGATGTCAGCCCCCAGTTATTTTGGTGCCTAAACTTTACTCATTCTCTTCTCTTTTTTGGAAACTGGGCAAAATAATCCAGCTAATAACCAGCCCTAACGCATCTATTTCACATCTATTTCATGGCTACATTGGAGTGAATTAAATATAACCAAAAGCCTACTTCATTTCAAGGCACAAACATTTGCAAATAAACTCGATGAAAAATGTATACATAATATAGAAATTATTTTAATAATTCTAGATAAATAAATGCATCTCTTTGGAATTCTTTGGACACAGACATCCATGGAACCTCTTTCTCTCTTTATATATATATATTTATAAAATCTATATGCAGAGAGGTTTAAAAAATGGCAAATACCAACATATGTGGAAGGCTCACTGATGAACTGCAAGTCAAAAGTGCTGTATATTCCCATCCTCTATATCTCCCACCTGTCCATATTAACCACAGGCAGTATTATATAGCAACCGCGTGGTCAATATTTTACATTACTACCATTTAACAGAATTTTTTAAATCATTTCCCAATCTAAACTTAAATTATGTTTTTAATTTTTATTCCATCTAAATGTATGGTAGGCATTTCACTTAGCTAAACATCAGAGTGGTCACAAGTGATTCAGCAACACACTCTGTAATATTAATAGATACTTTTCAGCTCTCTATGGGAAAAAGCAGGCAGCAAGAGTCAGATTCAAGACAACTATTTTTTTTCTCTGCTGTTTGTTACTTATCACATAATGACCCACATGTGAAACTCAATGGTTATATAATTATTTTATATAGTAGATTTTCTGTTTATAAGTTATTTTTCTTACTCTAACATATATACAACATATCTATATATAACCCTGATAAATCTTATTTTAAAGGGACACAGTCAACCCCTTTAAGCCTCACAGTAGACATATAAGGCTTTACGCTGTCCATACATAATGGTCAGCTACAGAATTCAAGGGTCCCTTCAGCTCCTAAAGGTTGTATTTGTTCCAAACCCACAATGTGCAGTTATCTCATAATATGTATCTTGTGTTGCTGTTTACATTTTATAGGTATACTAAAACATTTTATATCACATCAGTAGGAAATAAAACAAGAGAATAAATCTGTTTCTAAAACTAAGCCTACTGCAAAAAAAAAAAAAAATATTACCTGTATCTACAGACACTCCCACTGGTATGATATAAAAAGAATATGTGCCATTCTCAGGATGAAATTCTGGCTACACTGCAGTCAGGAGGAATTTTATACTGACTTAAATGAAGCCAGGATCTCTCTCTTGATATTAATTTGCTAGGTATGACTATGCATAACCCACTTGTGTCTTCCCTCTGCTCAACACTGAAGTGTCAGGCCTGTTTCATAACAAGACTGTATTTTTTGCTATCCACTGGCCTTAAACTTTGAACAGTACTGTAAGTATTACAGTTTGGAACTGTACACATATGATCTCATTTAAATAGAAGTTTGACCTATTCTGTGTACAGCATTTGATTTTTTTTTTTTTTCCCACTAAATTTTCTTGATCATTTATCTTATCTCAACCATAAATTACCTTCATGCCCATTCTTCAGCAGGTGAGGAAAACAATTTTTTTCTCACCAGGAACAACTCCACATTATTGTCTTTTTGTGTGTGTGTGTGTTTTTTGTTGTTTTTTTTTTTTTTTTTTTTTTTTTTGTGACATATTTTGTTCATTTTAACTTTTGCAACGCAGTTAGAAACCTAGTGGCATAGATAGAGACACAATACTACTGTTTTACAAGACATCTATGGTATCTACTTTTGTTCAGATAAATACCCAGTAACCGCTGATTTGGCAGGAGGATTGGTAAGGTACTACTATTCACAGTGTTTCTTTTCTTTTCCTTCTTCTTTAATCTACAGAATAAAGTATTTTATGTACATTGGAACCAGTTAATGCCCTTCAGACAAATTTGTAAGTTGTTTCGTAAAGCAGGAAAGACATTGCAGGGAAATATGTGCCAAAAAGCACAGTCAAAAGGCTTCATAAGTTTTATATATCACTGTATCAATGCTGGAGATCAGTTCTAAAACGATCAATACTTAAGAGGAATGCTCTCATCTGGAGAAAATACTGCCCATTCCCCCATTTAGAATTTGTTCAGTTCTCTATCAAAAGTCCTGGCTCTTCATATATGCTTTAAACTATAAATAAACACTGCATAGTTCAATGTTCTTGGTTTTCTTTTTTGTTTGTTTTGATTTGAAAAATTATTGCAGTACAATTATTTCCTGTTTGGAGTTCAGTAAGGAGCAAACAGCACAGGAGTATGGGTGGTCCGTATAGGCCCCGGAGCTGGTCGTAGGAGTGCTGGAGGAAGTGCTGAAGTCTGGAAAAGGGTGGCTGCTGGGGCTGTTCGAAGACTGAAGGGGGAATTCACAGCCACAGCAGCAGCTGCTGCTGCAGCTGCTAGTGGATTTGGTAAGATTCTTGGAGCCATCGGCTTTGAAGGTTCCTTTGAAAATACTAGTTTTACCTATGAGGAAGAGAGAAACAAACAAACAGAGAGAGACATAATTTGTTCATATTAGCTGCATGACAGGAAGCTTGACTTAAGATTATAAGAGGAAAATCAATTAAGAAAGGCTTTGTTTTGGTTATTGATTCCTTGAGCTGTAGGGTTGTGACGAGTCGCAATCTCACACATTCAACAAGGGAAGAATTTGGTAAGGGACAAATAGTTCCAGCGTTCCCTTGGTTGTGGGCTCATGCCTTACCTCTGAAACATTTAATTTGCTATGAGCTGAGAAATCAAAGCAAAACTAAAAGAGTGTTGGGCAATCTTCAGATAAATTAACCCACATGTACACTATGAAACTAAATAAGAAAGAATTAGCCATCAATTAAGAGATTTCCATCTGGACAGTTTTGTGACAGAGACCAGAGCAGAACCAATACATATCATTCTCCCTAGTGTGAGAAACACTAAAAAGCTACAGTTGTTTTCAACATTACAATCAAAGTTCTACTTAAAAACACGATGAACATCTAGATTCTTTTTATTAAGTGCAAACACTAATAACAGACAAATAAAAAAAGCTCATCTTGTACCAGTTATGAAAATCTCTTAAATGCATTTCCTTTGTTAAAATAGGTGATGGACTCTATGGATGTACTGCCTTCTGTCACGTGTCATCTTATTGTGTATTCAGAATACTGTCTTTAGAAGGAAATGTCAGAAATAACTTTTCACTAACATATTGTGCAGTATTATAAATATTGTGAAATATTTAAACAGTACTGTAATGAAAAACTCTTTCTTATATCAGTTAATGTAGTGCTAAACTATGGGTTTTTTTTGTTACTATCACTGAGGCTTTCGCTTTAAATATTTATAAATCATGACTCTTACTCAATACCAAATACAGTTTAGAAAATTCTTAGAGTTTCCAAAAAGGAAATAAATAAGCTCAAGATTTTCCCAAATTAAATGAAAACACAGGTTCATTATTATTTGATTACATAAGAATTTATGCTTGATATTCATACAAATGAATATCAGAGTAGTCTATAGATTTCTGCAGATTTTAAAGGGATTTTAAGCTTCTAATGAGAAGCCAGAAGCCTGAGTATTTTTGTTCTAATTTTATAACTCTGAGATGAGGATAGAGAACTCATCAACTGACAAAAATCCCGTCAACTCTGATGAATTCTGGGTATGTTTGAGTCCTTGAAGGACTTGATGTCCTTTGCTTAGAATATATGCCTAAATATATGAAGTTGCATATAGAAATTGAATATATGAATATATTGAATATATGTACCATCTCAGTCTAGTACCAACACTCTTCACTCGTGGAGGAAAAGTTTCTCATCCTTGGATTGAAAGAGATTTTCGAATAATTAACTTGCACTATATCAGTCTAATACTCAATACTCAACACTGCCATTACGAGAGACTAGTCAGAAAGGAAGGACAAGAATCATCTGACATGTACCATCAGCAAGTTTTGTCACTACATTATCACTGTATGGAAAAATTATATATCTGTTGGTTCTTTATCAACCAGACTGATACAGAATTTTTACTTTTCCTAACATGCATTGGCAACTTTGCAGATCTTAAGGTCCTTAAAAGCTCTGAAAAAGATATTCAGAGTTTAACATCCTCTTAACAGAGAATAAAATAGGCACTAGATCCTACAAAAGTCAATGATCTTAACTCCTTGATCAGTGTTATACACAAGCTGTCTTCTCTTGCTTAATGTCTGACTTTTTTCTCCTTCCATTTTCTTTAGTGGTTTTCTTTTCAGCCTCATTTAGAAACTAAATAAATGAATTAATAAAGAAATAAATAAAATAACTGAGTACAAAGTATGAGAAAAAACAACCCAAAGACTAGGGTTTTGATTGTTGTCTAGAATTCCATTGAAGGGTGTTTTCCCTAAGAACTATCTTATTGCAGAAAGTTTGGACTGTGAAATGCCTGGTAGCTTCTTTCTTTCTGGTGTTACATTTTGTACTTATTTGACATTTGTAATTTGAAGAAATATGAGCTGTCTCAACATTACAAGATTTTTTTTTTAACTGTGAGATAGTGCTGTGGGAATTCATAAAGCTTTCTTCTCTGAAGCAGTATAAATGATATTGAAAATATGGCATTGCAGAGCTGTTGGTCTAGAAATGCTAAGAAAACGTAGTATGTCCTTTTCTTAACTTCCACAGGAAGAAAAACAGGTGGTGCTCATTCATTTGTTGTCATAAAGAACAAAGATCCTAGGTGACTTCATGTTAAAAGGCTAGAACAATATTGCCATTCTTAGAGAAATTAGAAACTTCTAACGAAGTTGAACAGACTTTCACTTTATTTATCAACATGGTTCTCATTTCAAGATAGCCGTAATAACTGTCACAATATATACAGTATAATGCAGTCATTTCAAATCTCCTACAAGTAGTAATTAACATACAGATCAAGATTAAATGAGTAAAACTTACTGAACTGTTATTTTACAGTGAAGTAAAATAAGGTCCAGTAAATGACTTGAAAAATGTAATGAAAAGCAAAGTTAAACTCTAGAGTTCATAAAAAATACTTACATTAAAAGAAATCTTTGGCTTGTTGCCATGCAAATCCATACATCAAGTGACAGTTATTTTGGTGTTTTGTTTTGTTTTGTTTTTTAATTCAAAATCAAAAAGGACTAAATGTTCTACTATGGATATCAGCTTGCTTACTGCAAACTCATTTTCTTCCCTTTAAAATCATTTGATCTTTTTGCTCATCTCTGGTCTGACTTGTGAACTATGAGCACTTTAGAGTGAGGCAGTAAGAAAAGGACACACTGATTTTATCTAGTCACCAACTGAATGGCCTTGGCTGGAGTTCTCAGAAATCACCATTACATAAATTGTTAAATAGGCAACTGTTTACAACAACAGTAACAAAATAGTTATTTTCATCCCCGGGGAAACAATTTCCTAAAGGAATATAAATTCTGAAAGAAACTCTAGTGATTCTGTATCCTACTTTTCTAATTATAACTTTTCTATTTCTTTCAGTATATCTTATTTGTAGTGGAGCTGTTGGTCTCCCAGGTGAATTAGAAAAACCCCTCTGAGACTATTTCCCTACTAGTGAGTTCACCAAAATGATGCAGTGTATTATTCCATAACATCTATGAAATCTCCAATGCAACTAACAGTGCATGGATATACTACAAAAAAGGTCTGCCCCAAAAAGGACAAATTCTATCTGTCAAGAAAAGAATTTAAGTTCAGCTAACAGAGAACTGTACTCTCAAAGAAGAAAGTTCTGTATGCTGCATGCGTTAGAGAAGATGGACAGTGATTAAGGAGTGAATCTGTATAAGGTCAATGAATCAACACCTTCACCCTGCCAAAATCATCTATAAATCCTCACAAAGCACCATGTCACATTAAACAATCACACAGTTGATCTAACAGAGATAAAAATCAGATGCTTCACTATCCCACCCATGATATAAACTGTTTCTTGATTAATGGCAGGAACTTAGCAGGGTTCTTATTAGAAAGTAAATATTATTTTCAGCTTTTGAAGCTAGCAAGAACTCTGTTTCACAAAGTTTATCCTGTTGGTTTGAAACGTGACCAGAACCATCCTGAAACTAAGAGTAATAAAATGAGAGATGGATTTTTGTTTTTACTGTTTCAATTGTTATCTGAATATTTTATAAATGAGGATAGAATGAAGTTTTAATGTATTATAGAATTTTATAGTTATTTCAACACTATTGCACTTAGTGAACACTGGAAAAATGCTTGACATTTGCATGTTTCTCTCCTCACTTGCTCTCTAATGACCTTTAAAAGAGGCTTCTTTTCTAAGGTTATTCAGTGGAGCTACAAAAACAAGAACCCATGGGTTCATACCCTTCAAAGGAAATAAATTGTTTCCTGTGAGCTTTCATGCACTTCTTCAGACACATATTTCCATTGCTTACACTTACTTATTTTAAAGATTCTTCCACTCTCATTTTCTAAACTCTCAGTACTCAGCAGGATTCTGTGAATAACAAAGTGATAGGCTTACCCCTAGAGGATGTGTTCCCTTTTGGAGTTTGTTGTATGGGCTGTATTTAGGTTTAGGCGGCTTCCCAGCAGCTCTATCTTTGTGCCTTCTACTGCTTATGTGCTGTTAAAATACATAAGGGGGGGGGGGGGGGAAAAAAAGTGATATTTCCTTAAGAGATCATTTTGAGTTCTTCCTGAATGCTCTCCACAAAAGCATTATATGATTAATTCAATAATGATCGAGAATAGGGCCTGTTCCAGTTTGAGGAACTCCTTTGTACACCACGCATTAAGACTGATTTTCAGCAGTGCTCAGATCAAATCTGCTTCCACCGTGTCACTGAATTTCTCACCTTTGTTAACTTCAACAGGACTTGAATTAGGTCAAAGCAAGAAACCTTTAAAATAATCTCTATAAAGCACCCATCAAATTCAATCTGCTAGTGATTGAGAGTTTTGGAAGAATGTTAGTACCACATTCTCTATTAAAAAAGAAAAAAGAAAAAAAAAAAAAAGCACAAAATTGTTTAAATCCCCAAGAAGTCTAGAGATCCTCTTAAGATTTCAGTTGAAAGATGGTTACATATCAAACTAAGTGATAGTGAAGTAAAATCACACAATCCATTATCTTCTTCATAAAATCTATCAGATTTTACAAGAATGACTTCACACAAACTTCACTGCTGTATTGGATGTAAAAGACCCTTTTCAGAGCTGTACTTTCACTTTGATTTTCATTCTCAAGAGTTCTTACAAAAAAAGACAAAGTACTGGACTTTTTTTCTAAAAAAAGACAAGCATTGCCATTGTCCATTACAGAATTTATCTTCCTCCCTGTAAAGCTCCTTAACAAGTATTGAATTCCAAAAGGTATATGGAATTGAACAGAGCAAATGTTTTGCTCATCTGATGAATAACTGAACATAACCTAGTATAATTGCAATTTCGAGGTCACACTTCTCAGTTCTGATAAAAAAAAGTCAAATCCTCATCATCCCACGTTTCTAAGTAGGCTATTCAATGTTCAGGGAAATACTGCCTACAGCTACAAAGCAAATATCATGCAGTATACTAAATGGAAGGTTTTATTAGCTCTTGACAACTGTAAAAGCCTAAAGATAATTGCAACACATTGCAGCTTACAGCTGCATGTATGTATGTAAGTCATATAAATAAATATAACTTTTGAGAAAACACATTGTATGAAGGAGAAAATCATACCCAAAATTAAACATACAGCATAAGAACCGAATACAAAGGGAAAATTCTACAAGCTCCATTTGGATGTGAAGTGTTAGACTGACACATGCTGATTGTGTTGGTACTTTATTACCATGAAAATAAAGAATAGCCAAGGATTCACACTCTGCAAGGTAGCAAGGTAGCTGAGTACCTGTTTCAGTTGTGTCTCAGAGTTTACGTGCACATCGCATATTTCACAGTGAAATGTTTTGTTCTGAAGGCCTGTGTTTCCTTTATTCACAGGTCCTTTGCCTTTTACGCCTGCCCGGGGAAAGGCTTTTATGGTTCCACTTCCATTCCGAGCTTCCAGCATAGTTTTGTGCTTAGTCCCTGGAGACATTAGAAATGGGAAACAGAAACAACTTTGGCAATTTGGTTGCATTCATTGTTTTGTTTTCTTTCTAGAAGAAAATCATATGAACCTCAGCTTAGTGCTACATGCTATCCTTGGAATATGCCTGTGTTTGTCAGTATCAGATTAATACTTATGTAATGGTATTTCAAATCTGATATTTAATTATTAGATTACAGTTCTGTAGGTAGAACAAAGCAGCCACACCAATAAGTACTGGCACAATCAGGTGTCCTGATGTGAAGTTAAATGGGTGTGACTTTTCTCATTAACTCCTGCTGATAATAAGATCTGAACTGTAGTTGCAAAGGAAGAATAATTTAGTGATTAAAGGTGCAGTTGCCTTTGATTTGTAGTCCTTCTGAATGGATTGATAAAACGTAAGCATTAGGTAGCTTACACTTAAATCTGTAATTAAGTAATTAGTTGTCAAACTGCAAAGGGGCTGAGGTTCCTGGCAGAAACCTGGACCTGAACAAAAACATGTGAGAAACATGGAGGTGAGAAAAATGCACTTGCATTTCTTATTAAAATAAAGGTTGGACAGAAAACATTTGTGTCTATTGCTGTACCTTTAATCAGACCAAACAATTTCTTACACTGTTGACTTCTATGTAGTTTGTCTGTGATCATAATGGACTACTACAAATTGCAGATTTAGTCTTCCAGTGGTAATCACCTTCTACCCTTTTCCAAGTATGCATGTGTGAGACCACACACAGTTTAACAGCATAGAAATTAAAGCTTGGAAGTTTGTAACTGTTACAATAAAGTTTTGGCTCTCAAGTGGATCAGAAAAATGTTTAGGGTCTAACCTTAATAGGAAGGAAGACATACAGGTAAAATAAGTACAACTTGATGAGCTTTTAATTTTCATCTGTCGAAGATCTAGTGTACAGCAAACGCAGCATTCAAAACAGACTAGGCTTTGATTTTCATGAATACCAACAAATTATCATTTCCTTTTTAATTTAAATGTATTCTATAGGCATGTAAACTTCCTTCATTTTTGATTAAAATTATTTTCATTACATCATGAGACCATTTATCATTTTTATGCAGGTATATTAGCAGTCTCCAAATTTCAAACTTGAAACCCTCTATCTCTTAACTCTGTTCATCCTGCTGTCAGGAAAGCACTGACATCCAAAATCTGGACTTTTTCCGTAGAACTGTTATAAACGCTCACTGCCAGCATATTAAATTACAAGATATTTTAACTGTCTACCACAAAGTCAATCAATAAAATGCTTAAAATAGTGACTATGGATCACGGCTGACTACTGCTGGAACTTACTGATGTTGCTAACTCTAACAAGAAGAAAAGGTTTAAAAATTAAGGAAGGCAGAATTAAGCAACTACCCATTCAACTCTCATGCACCAGCTACTACCAGTTTATGAAGACAGAGGAAAAATATACTACCAAGTTGTTGACAGACAATATGGGGCCAAAAATTCTAACTATCATTGAACTCTGACTGACTCTGCCTCTTTCAGCCTTAATTTGTTAGATTTCAAACAAAACTAATAGTATTCATATTCAGTTTGCTAGCTGGCACAAACAAAAGTATGCAAACTCTGAACACCAAAGGTAATGAAGCATGAGCTGTCATTTAGCTCTATAAGGCTTGGAATCTGCAAAAGCTAAAATGTAAGAAAATGAAAAAAAAAAAAAAAAAAAAAAAAAAGCAAAGCCCTCTTTCCCCCTTTAGAAAAGCCTATTTGCCTGTCTTTTTTATTCTTTAATAGTTAATGAATTCCATGTAATTGCCAGCTTTCTGCCACCTCTTTGTCCCCTGCTGCAAGAGATCTAAACTATTCAGGGAAAGATAATTGCAGAGCTCTTGAGACAGAAGGGAAAAAAAAAAAGAAGAAAGCAAGCATTGCTCCATCTCACCACTGTTGTGCGCCTCCAGTTGCGAGGCAGAGTTGACAGCGACTTTGCATAGTGAACAGTACAGCAGTCTTTTTGCTTTTTCTTCCTCAGTCTCAACGGAAGGGCATGTCGTGCTGCTAGTGGCTGTCGTGGGGATTTTCTCCACTTTAGAGGTGATCTCTGTTGTCATAACACTGCTCTTCCGGATTTCCACGGTTGTTGTCGTTGATATTGCTGGTGTCCCTGCGGTAACATCTGTGGGCAGAGGGAAAAGATGGAAGGAAACAAAATAAGAGGTTGTGACCTCTGATGTTTGCTTACTTGCATCACAGCACTGTAACTGCCCAGAAAGCCAGATGCTGGTGATAGTATAACTAAAAGTAATGAACTAAATCTGAACTTATTCTTTCTATATGATTACTCCCATGTACCAAAATGCCACATACTGTCTCCTCCATTCTGCTAAGACACAGTAAATACAGAATTCATAAACTGAAAAGATAGGTTGTTGAGACTGTACTGTACCACTGAGAGATAATTCACCAAAAGTGGCTGTATAAATTACCAGCATAATAGTAGTAAACATTTAAATGCAGCACTTCAGGCGCATAAACTGCCACGATACTGTATAGTACTTACACTGATCGATAGGCCAAGCTAAATTTTTAATATTCTGTACTAATAAAACTGGAATTAAAATAATGTTCTTGTTATCTGATAAAATTAAAAAAAAAAAACACAAAACAACAACAACAAAAAACCTTCACTTAGTATCAACCAAAACTATTACCAAATGAACTAAACTAATTATTAATACACAGTATACATTTATCCATGCATCCCTATTATTACATACCAGTAATATGTAATAATAACAGTAATTAAAACAAAACAAAACATTCTGTATCTAATACCTCCAGGAACACTAAAAACAACTGTGTTGGTGGTATGTTTAGAAAAACTGTAAACATGTGAGATATCTAAAACTTCAGAAATCTCGTGCCTGCATTTGAGAACACATGGTTTTTCTGTAGCTTTCTATTCTGGAAGAGAGAAAACACACAATATTGTGGTTTGAATAACATATAAATGACATTTTGTGCGAGTCCTAAACATCCATGCTCAATATTATCAGTTACCCCAGCAAGCTCTTCAAGCCTTCAGATGAGTTTGGTTTCCACTAGATAAGTTGTACAAGGGGCTCCATCCTTGCCAAGGACACAAAAACAGCTATACAAATCCTGAATTCACCAGGAAGCTTATAGCCTAAACTTTTACAGGATTCTCACAAACCTCTTTCCATCCCATTTTAGAGCCCAGGTACCGGGGACACAGATCTCTCTCACTGAAAAATGGAATCATAGAATTACAGAATCACAAGAACTGGAAGGAACTCCTGGAGATCATTTAGTCCAACCTCCCCGCTAAACCAGTTCCCTACAACAGGCTACACAGGATAGTGTCCAGATGGGTCTTGAATATCTCCAGAGAAAGAGACTCCACAAACCTGGGCAGCCTGTTCCAGAGTTTCACAAAGGGAGAGAGAAGAAAAGGCAGGGTAATATAATTTGGTGGCTAGATACTTAGCAGGGTATAGGACTGTAAGACTAATCACTGAATCAGTGCAGAAGATAGCAAGTAAATTACAAGAGGAGAGAAGTGACAGAGTCATTCTGCCCTTTAAGAAAGACCAAGATTTGCAGTGCTTTGTTTTGTCATACTAGCCTACTGAGTAGCAGCTTACCTCGTAAGAAATCTTATTTACTTTACTGAGACACTCCTGTGGTTAGGTACTTTCCAAAACAGACAGCTCACACATCCTTTGCTGTTAGTGGTGCTCTGTCTGTAATATGCTTTATTTATTGCCATCTATTACAATAAACAAAATAACTATTCTTTGGATTATAGATCTCAGTATGCTTTGTGATGCAGGAGGGACACATTAACTGATGCCCGCAGAGGTATATTTCAGATTAATACTGTTCAACAATTTCATTAATGAAGAGCATGCCTATTAATTTACCAGACAATAGCAAACCAGGAGGAAAAGCAAACACAATAGGAGACAAAATTCAAAACAATTTTAACACATTGGAAAAACAGTCCAGAAAATTAGATACTTTTCAGTAAAGACAACTGCAGGAATCCACACTCAGCAGGATTAATGCCACCTATTAAAACAGGATGAAGATCAACAGCCCAGTAATGGTATTTGGAGGATTTTTTTCTTTTGTTTTTGTTTTTGTTTTTGTTTTTCTCCTGTTTGTTCTGTTTGTTTATTTTTTAAGAAAAAGTTTTCAATAGGGGATAACAAGACAAACACATACCACACAAACTATGGTGTTATGAATAAGGTACCTGTCATACTGAAAGTGCAAAGTGAGAGATGTGTGAAGGTTTTTTTCCTCCTTTAATCAGAACTGGAGGCCCTGCATCCAATCTAGGGACTGCAAATGTCACATTAACAATGACTTGCTCTGTTTTTAATTCAGCAGCAATACAAATGTAAACCAACACAAGGAGGGTTGTAAGAGAGGAAGCCAAAACAAACTAGAAGCTTACAAAACATGGCCTACTAATATAGAACGTGAAGGGTAAACAATGACAACATTTTTTCAGATCTGCAGAAGGTAACTAAAAATAAGAGAATAAACTCTTCTCCCTGATCCCTCCTAATAGGACATGGACTATTGGATTACAGAGAGGGAGACTTAGATTAGACATCAGGAAATTCTTTCTAATATTAAAGCCTGTAAAGCCTTAGAATATCCTATCTACAGAGATACTGAAATATTGCCTGTTGGAGGATTTGGAAATGGTTGAGCAAACGTCTGGGAAAACAACCCAGTTAGCAGGAATAATTTACCTCTGAGGAAATTTCTAGTCCTGTCAGTTTCTATAATCTGTGTATTTTGTGATGTTTCTATGTATGCTCCCAAAATGTTTTAGAAATTACTGTTTATAAAACCCAAAGGCTGCATTTGTGATGTGAATAGTCTGCCAGGCATTAAAGCATAGAGCAAAAGTTCCTTGTCACTCTTTAATGAGAATGGTTTTTTTCCTGAGACTGAGTCTGGATGTGGTTCTATTCTGAATGCACTGAGACAAATACTGTTGCAGAGCATTCTGTTCTTATTTTTTAATATTTTATGGAATAACAACAGTGTTTCAATAGAAAATAATATCTTGAAATATTAAGCCTTTTGTTGGGAAAGTGATGAGTAAATGAAGTCTTTGTATGTCTGTCCAGAAAATTAATTTAACTAGTCACTCCTTCTCCATTTCAGAAAACATGTGCTAACGCTTGCATTCCTTGAGTTGAAAGATGCAGCAAGTGTATCAAAACCCCACTTTCAGCAGTGCATAACATTGCTTTCTAAATTTCTGTTTCTCCGTCCTAGGACTACTGTACAGTAGCAAGTCTAGCTACGCACTTTCCTTTGAAAAGGAAGGCAGAAGGAAGGTAGAAGTAGAGAGAAGGAAGGAAGAGTGAAAGAAGGCATTAACATTCTCTAAAAATTGATGGCAAGGTTGGTGCTCATCCTAATCTTGCAGGAAATTAGATACATACGTCAATCAGCATTATCGGCTTTTCAGTGCAAAGGTTAGCATGCCTTATGCAAAATATAAATAATCATTTCTTTATTTCACTTAGGAGAACCTGAGGCAACAGCCAAAAAAAAAAAAAAAAAAAAAAGCTTAAATAGTTGCAGTTTTTGTTCTGCTTCAAATATACGTCCTTCTCTATGTATGTTGATTGTATACTTCACAATTAAAGTGAAAAGAAAATGCAATCATTATTTTGATATGTAAATTGATATGTAAAAGCATTATTTTATACAAAAATTAAACTACAAGTGGTAATTGTCATCATCATATTCTCCAACTATAAAAACCATAATTATTCAGAGTATATATCCTGCTCATAAGCCTTCCAAAATACACCCTTTATAAATACATCATATATGTCAGTAATGCAAACACATTAATGACATTAAACATAAAGGAAAACCATCCATGTTTGCCTTGTAAAAGCTATTTATATAATATAATGTAAAAGCATTTAAAGATGTAAAGCTCCACCTCCTCAAATAAACTACAGAAGTTACAGGGAATACATTCTAAAAACTGTCAAGTAAGCTTAAAAAGAGGAAATTCTTAAAAAGAGGAAATTCTTCTAATCTAACCAGTGTATCTTTGTATATATTATTCTATTGCCACCTATACATAGTTTAGCATCCTGAATACAGAGTGCAGCATTAAAGGTATAAGGGATAAAGCGGGGGAAGGCATTGGAACTGATGCTTTGAAGACTGAATCAGCATTTTTCATTTTTTAGCATGCATTATGACAGTGCTTTAAGTGCTACTTCAGTAATAAATTATCTAAAACCATGCTGGAAATTCAATTGGAAATTTGTTTCAGGTGATGCAAGCTTACAGAACTGTGCTATTTTCATAACAGCAGTCTCCAGCAAATATTCGCTATTGCAACTGTCACTGTGTGACTTTGGCATAGAAGCATATTGCTAATATTGCGTGGAACTGAATTCCAGCAGCCAAAAGAAAAAAAAAAAAAAAAAAGATTTCAGGATGAATAAGAATCCATTTATGCTCCAGTTCTTAATATAAAACAGACTAAACATTAAAAATAATTAAAAAAAATCATTAAAAACTAATCTAACTCACCAGAAAACAATCAACAATCAAATGTTTATTTTGACAAGAAGATAAAACCAGAAGTAAAACATTTAGTGAGAATTGTCTCCTTTGGGTTGTACAGATACCATAGTTCCAGAGGAAAACTGCAAGTATGTGATTAAGGTGCTTTTAAGTAAGCAAGATTAACTTTATATCCATCTACAAATCTCATGATATTTTTTTAGGCTGGAGAAACACAAAATTACACCAACTCGTGTTTTTCTTCTGAGTGTGTGAGAGTCCCACTTGTCAGTTCCTACTACTCAGAATTTCTTATCCTAAGACTATAAATAGACCTACAGAGAAAAAAGTGCATTGACTTCAAACAAATCACAACTATTTATGAGCTTATTTTTGATTCCACAATCTCAAGTGGCATGCATTTAAAAATATCTGACTTAGCACTTAACTCATGCATTCTGGTCTCATTTCAATCAGTGTTGCCCTTAGCATAAAAGGATGGACAATTTGGCCCATAATGCTGCCCATGACGCAAACAAAAACAAAATAAAATTAAATTAAAAAAAAAAAAAAAAAAAGCCATGAAGTATGCTG